TTCATATTCATAATCCTTTTTTTTTTAAACAGACTGAACATTCTAGATTGCTTGTTTGTTCTTCCTTGAAATGGATAATTGATAGTTTTGTTATTGTTGTAGCCATTAAAGGAAAATGGTCTACAGGAGGAGGAGGAGGAGGGGAAAAAGCCCATTATCATTAGGTTCTTCTTGCAAAAATTAATAAAAGAGCTAAGGTTTGTCAGGTAAGGTGTTTGGTTCTACTAAGCTACAGCTTGGAGAATTGATTAAAGCAGCATTTATGTATGTATGTGTGTGTGTATGTATGTATTTATTTACAAGATAGTTCTGCAAAAGTAGTTTTCTTGAGCATTTTAATGCTTTTGAAAGTAACCAACTTGGGCTGTGCACTGTTTTCCTTGTGTGTAATTAGTCGTGTTTATAGATTGTCTGTTAGAGAATTAGCAATTGTGCTGGCCGTATCAACTCACGGCAGACCTGCCTTTTTGCTGCCAAAGACAGTGGCAGGGTTATCAACTTACACAGGCTTGGATGTGTTCCAGCTGTTTAATTATAGTGTCACACATGCTGCTTTTTCTAGTTTCATTAATTTATAAATGTAATATGGTATCTTATTTCAGTGATTAGCACTTCATTTTGGTGGGCTAAACATGCTGGCAGAACAACATTGATTTCTCAGATCTCTGTTCTTTCGGAATATTTTTACAAGGCATTATTGATTTTTCTGTTAACGCCCTTGTGAAAGCACTGTCCTTAAAACAATCCTCCACACACATGCACACACACAGACACACACAAGTCTGTGTAAGATTTTTTTTGTCCATTGAAGTAAGATCACAACATTAATTTAGACTTCCTTACCTCTGTTTCATTTATGGGAAGTAGATCGTACTTAGGTGGTAGAAAGAAAGCTTAGAAACAAATGACCTTACTTTTTTTATGTTTTTGTTTTACTTTTAAAGAATTATGTGAATGCTTATGTGGGGCGAGAGTTAATTCATTCAATTGATTAGAAACTCAATAGGAAGCAGGAAAAGGAGATGAATGTGATTTCACTCTAGAGTATAATGTTGTTGTGGTCATATTCTAGAGATGCCCATAATAATTGTATCAAAGCATAACCCATTTTTAGTGTTGTGGTACTGGGCTCCTGAGGACAAATTTATACTGTTCCATCATAGAACTGAAGGACCTGAAACACAGAGATTGGACCATATCCTGTGTCGAGACAAAGAAAGAACTTGCATAGTGTTGGTTGACTTCATACTCAGCTGGATGGGAGAATTGCATATGTTTTGAAGATTGCGTGAATATGTTAAATAGATCAGATTTTTAAAAGGAGAAAAGAATAAACTGGATAGTTCCTTTTTATGTGTTATGATAGGGTTTCAGTCTTCTTAGAAAGCAACAGACAGCTGTAGCTGCATGTTTCTTTTTCCTTTCTCTTTTCCTTTATGTATATTCAACTTTCCTTCTTTCTTTTCTTGGTTGGGGAAATCATAGTTTGCCACTGTATTCCACTTCAAATATGATTTCAGTCCTCAGTGTGGAGCAAACTATGGTTTATTCAAAGAAAGAAAATGGCTAATTAGAATGTGCATATGGAGGAGAAAGGACATAAGCCTGTGATATGTTTCTGGTTTTTTAAACAAGAAATGCAAAATCGGTGGTCACAATCTTGGGGCACTCCCCAAAGCCTCTCCCAAAATTGCAGAAGTAATTGTACTAGCAAGATTTTATTCAATTTGGATTAAAATTTTATTTGTGTCTTGGCACCACCTGCTTTGGGGTGGGGCGGCCACCAGCTTGCCACTCAAAGGTCATCTGTGGACTTGTAGCCACAGAGATGTTATGCTGCTACATTAAAGTGAACTTAATGAATAGTAGGTTTGAGCCAGCCCCTAAATTTGGGTCAGTTGAAAGGAGGAAATGAACCCACGGTCACCCAGTGAACACAACAAAGCAGGGATTTCCTGCATCCAAGTTCAGATTTTTATTTTTATTTTTTTTTAATACTGACCTTCATAATTATCTCCACCATTAATGGTTTCAAACAGAACTGGAAGAAAAACTCATTAAAAGCATCTTGCCATTTTTAGGGCCTTTTTTTTCCACTTCAGACCCTGGGGACCCAGAGCTGCCAGTCACTCTTTAGATCTCCAGAAGTTGCTATCAACTTGGAATTTTTCATAGGACAGTTGGGGAAAAATGATGAAAACATAACTAGAGAGTTATATATAATATGAAGTAAATTCAAAAAGAAAACAAAACAAATGTATTTTTGCCCTGGAAAAAGTGTGTCCCTGTTTAATATTCTTATGCTTTCCTCTTCAATTTGGATGGTATATTTCTTTCCCTATCCTAAGAAAAGCACATTAGTATTTTTTATATTGGTAATATAAAATATTAGTAACTAGAAACACTCCAGAAGAGGTAAACCATAGAAAAGAAATTGATGGATGACCCTTTGTTTCATTTTAACTTAGTGACATGTGAAAATAAACGGCTTTAGTGTTATCTCTCTGACCCCTTGAGGTGGTCTACAGGAAGCCAGATAACTTTAGTCCTTTAAAAAAAAAATCCAAGGAAAAGAATTTCAAGAGGGAAAACAGAAATTTCAAATTTCTTTGACCTTTCTGAACTGCAAAGTGTGCCTGACAAATTCTGTCTCCTCCTGCAAACAGCTTGCAGAGAATGATGACAGTATTCTCTCCTGAGGTTTTGGCCAAATAGAATCATGAGCAATTCCAAATTAGTTCATAAAAAATATTCCATAAGTTCCTGGCCAGGTAGATTGTATTTTCCATATAGTATGGTCTACAAATTCACTGTTTATCTTGATTTTTCACTGGAGACTAAAAGGCTTTGCGTATACATATTGACAGTGAGTCATAGTCCATTTTCACAAATTTAGAACTTACAGTGGTGTTTACCTAAATTAGCAACTGTTAACTTGCTGTATGCAATGTAGTCAGTCCTTCAAAATATTTAAATACAAATTAAGGAGATGATTCAGGCTCTTGGGGGCATTGATTTAAGAGTTTCTCATAATAGTTAGTGATCTTGTATAGATGATACTTGTCCCAAACAATGAGGGATATAAACTCAAAACAATAAGGGGAATTCTCAAGCTTTGAATTAGCTTGAAAATCCTAAGGTATAGAAATGTGTCAAGAACTATATGCTGATATATTGTCTGTAAAGATAACTTCTAAATCTTCATTGATAGAACTATGTGAATGTGAAGGTTGCCATAACTTAGCTGTACATGTAATTACTGAACAGTAGAGGAAAGCTAAATATATAATTAAATGCTTAGCCAGGGATGAGTCAAAGTTGAATTGTATACAGATGTCTGTTCTAAAAAGCTCTGAAAAATCTTACTAAGAATCCCACATATTAGGATCTATATAGTTGTCAGATTTTGAAATTTAGGAAATAGTGATTTTTGCTTTCCTTGGGTCAGACTTCTGTTTTGGATAAGTTATTTCACTGGGAAATAACTTTTTTCTTTCCTCAGAAAATGTGTTCCCTCATTCTATTACCATATTGTTGTATTCTCATCTTCTGCTTAAGTATTTGCTTTATTGAATCAAAAGATGGAGCTGCACTGGATTTGTATCTCTCTTTCACTTTACCTTTTGTCATTAACATTTCTGGAACTAACAATATTATTTCCCCAAGATGACATTTTAAAAGTTGTGATTATCTTCCATCCTAACAGCATTTAAATCATATATTATTTTAAAACCCTTTCACGATGCGGTATTTCTGACAAGGCTTCTTTTTCTTTTCTTATTTTGTTTTCAACTACAGTGAGGAGAGGAGATGTTCTGGCAGCATGGAGTGGGATTCGTCCCCTTGTGACTGATCCCAATTCTAAAGACACCCAGTCCATATCTCGGAATCACGTGGTACACATTAGTGACAGCGGCCTTGTGACTATCGCAGGTACCAGGTTGTTGCTTCTAATTCTTTCTCTCCTTCCCTCTTTCTCATTGGAATTCTTTCTTAGTGATGTGAAGAAAGCTAGTCAGATACATATGCCGAGGTTCTCAGTTCTGAAACAAAAGAAAAAGAGTTGGCAAACTGATGCTGTCTAAATAACATGGATGACAGATCCCATCAGCTGCATCCAGTGAGGGTGGTGGTTGTCTTAGGGTTGCAGGTGTCTTTCTACCTGTACAATAGAACTATTCCAGGGCAAGCATTCTAAGAGCTTTTTCTTCAATAGTTTAGTCTATGTGTTCTTAAATAAAGGCTCGGGGGATTAATCTTTGTATATTATCCATATTTGTTAATACTCCCAGGTGGGAAGTGGACAACTTATCGCTCAATGGCCCAGGATACCATTGATGCTGCAGTAAAAGCTCATAAGCTTCAGGCCGATCCCTGTAAAACTGTAGGACTGCTCCTGCAGGGCGCAGAGGGCTGGAGCCCTACCCTTTATATCCGACTGGTTCAAGATTATGGACTTGAAAGTGAGGTGAGGCTCGTTGTTTACTCAAGTTAGTAGAACCGCTTAAAACTACAGAATTCAAAGCTGAAGGGTATGAATGCAATGGAACTTTCTTATCTGCCTGTCTGCTGTGAAGGATCTCTCTGAAGATCCATCCCCTTGAACAGTGTGGAATGGAGGCAGGGGAATAATTCACCCAAAATGAGTGGAGGTGATAAACATGGTTGTGGACCATGACATAAATGGAGATGATAGGGAGTGAGTAGATCCCCAAGTTGTGAGTCTGCCCAGGAGTCCCCACTATAGCCACTTGGTGAGTGCTCTGAGGACAGCAAAGCAGATCAAAAGAGAAATGGCAAAAGCTGGAATAAAGGGGAAAGGTGATTGAGAAGAGCTGTTGTAGAAGGCAAGGTGAGAATGAGACAAACACTTGTTGTGAAGGAAGTTAGTCAAAATGCCCCATATCTTGGCTTTACCTGTTCAGTGTAGATCTTAGTTCATTGGAAAAAGGAACTTTTAAAAAAAAGCATCAAAGGCTTAGGAGTTAGCTGTAAACCATGTTATGGACCACTTTTTGAAAATGGAGCTGTAATCCTTTTTATTTTTAATTATTCATAGACGGCAAGCTTATTATTGTCCTTGACTTTAAAAATGCTATTTATGTCATCTCTATAGGTGTTTTTATATATATGCAGAGACATACATGTGCATGCTTTGTCTGTTAAAAATGACAATCTAAGCTGTCCCAGATAGATCTGTTCTCCAGAACTGATCATAGCAGCAGCAAGATAAAGCGCTATTAGTTCCTGTCCTGTTGATAGACATTTGTGCTGGCTAAAGCGTTCCTGCGCATCAGGAGTTGCCTCTTGCCTCTGATACCAGCTTTGGTGGGCTGTTGAATCTCAGGCAAGGGGAGAGCTTTCAAGAAGGACTCTTAGCAAGATGGAGTTCTTTTCCAAAAAGCATAATTTCTTAACCTCTTCTCAATTCCATAGGTGGCTCAACATCTTGCCAATACATTTGGGGACAAGGCTTTTGAAGTGGCAAAACTAGCCCAGGTAACTGGGAAGAGATGGCCTATCGTTGGAAAACGTCTTGTCTCAGAGTTTCCATATATTGAGTCAGAGGTATGTCTATAAAACCTTTTGTGCTGCTGCTTCTGCTGCTCCTCCTCCTTCTCCTTTCTTGCGTTCTTGCTTTTGGTTTTGAATGTTCTGTTTCTTGCCATATTAAAATTGGAAGCTTCATTTGCTTCATCTATTATCCTACTGTCAGCTATTAAGTCCAGTTAAGGCCAAATCATAGAGAAAGAAGCTGAGTTGTATAAACCAGTAAGTCTCTGTATTTTTTTCCTCTGAAGCCTTGAATGCCATCTCAAATGCTGTTTTTGTCTGCAACATGAACATTAATAATAATCTTCCTTACAGAGCTGTAAAAAGTATTTTGAATGTTCTAATGTCCTAAAATGCTACTTGTTTCTTTATCAACTTCAATATTCTTATTTTTCCCTATCTGGAGAACAATAGAAGAATTGTTCAAGCTTATAAAGGAAGTATTTGTAGGAGTAGTGAATGGAAAAGCAATGGCAAATGAAAGCACATATAGTTAGCGGGGGAGGTGCTAGAATTACCAGGAAAAAAAGCCCTGCTTTGTTCTTACATTAACAGCAAATTGTGAAATATTTTACTCTGTCACAACTGTCCTGAAAGGTATAGATGTAGTGACCAGAGAGAAATCAGTCAATCCCACTAGAATCCTGAGAAGATTGGGAAAAAACAGGTCCAGAGAAAAGGATCAGTGGGATGATAGGTATTCCTAGTGAAGAGCAGAAGGTGAAAGACTGGAGAAGCTTGGATATTTGCATATGAAGTTAAACCTTCTCCCCCAAACAGAGCATGTCTGCTCATATGTAATTCTAGATACATCTCTGTTGTAATCCAAGAAGATGAATGGGGACAGAGGCCTCTCGTAACTGGTGAAAAGTTCAGTTAAGCAGCTTAGATAAATATGTTCTAGTGGTAGTAAATAATTCCAACTTGGATTGTCATCAGGTTACATTGTATTTCATTTCTTTTGTGCAAATTTCTCATTGGGGCCAGATGCTCAAACTGAAGTTGTTATTTTCACTTGCCTCTTCAAACCTTTTAGATTGAGTATGCCGTCAGCGAATATGCTTGCACTGCGGTGGACATAATTGCTCGTCGCACCCGTTTGGCTTTTCTGAATGTCCAAGCTGCTGATGAAGCCTTACCGAGAATCATTGAGATAATGGGGAAGAAACTAAGATGGAGCGAACAGAAGAAGAAGGTATTGAAGAGGCTCCTGGTTTCATAATCAGAAAGCTTAGGAGAGCCTTTCCAAGAAGTTAATTGGCTATGGTGGAAGCATTCAAATTTTCTGAATAACCAAGGGCTGCATGGTGGTTAGTGTGTCAAGACAGAGTCAGGGAGGTTCACTTGCAAACCCCCCCACTCAGCCATGGAGTTCACTGAGTGCTGTGGGCTCCATCAAAGTGACTGTCCATATGTATCCCTAAGCCATTACTTGGGTGAGTAGTTCTTGACTTAATGTGATCATTGGTCCCCACTCTACCTCTCCTACAGCTTGGTGTAATGTACAGATCAGGCCATGCGATTGTATAGGTGACAAATGATAGTTAAAAAATGCTTACAATTTTGTGAGTGAACTATGCCAATCTCCCAGCTCACCTCTACCACACAGAGTTGTTTTGAGAAATGGGAGACACTACTCCTTAAGGGAACTCTCTTCCCACCACAACCAGCACCCATGTATCTGTAGAAAGACCAAAGCCTTATGCAAACATTATTACAATAAGGAAATGAGTGCACAGGAGTTATAGACCAAGTCTTCCTCCCCACTTCCCCCCCCCCGTACCTATAGTTTTTCTCCCAAACAGACGTCCACAAATGTAGCATTGAGGTCTTTATTGAGCAGCCATTCACACATATGGCAATATGCTTGCTGGCTTCCACATGAAAGAGATACTGGTGTTGCAAAGTGCTTCTTTTACCCTCAGTATCTGAAAAGGAGTTCTTGGGTCTTATTCCCAGTCTTTTGAAAATAAAAGATGCAATCTTACCTAGCTTGCATGCTGTGCCCAGGGCTCCTTCGTCTCAGCTGGATGGCTGCTTTCAGTTACAGGTGCCTGTTTTCAAGTGCAGGATTTTGAGCCTAAAAGCAGCATAAAGCAGAGAATGATAAAAGGGAGAAGGCCTTTTTCCAAATGACCCTCTCTGCTTACTGAGATCATTGAGGAGGTTCACCTACAGTTGCCGTGAGCTCATCTGGCTGTCAGCCAGGATCAAGCCAACTCTCTTGGCGCTCCAGTTCCTTGGAATGCACTCCTTACATTGTGAGGGGCCTGAGCTTTTTATTAGCTTTTGGAAAGGTCATTAAAACACGCCTTTTTATACAAGCTTACTGAGTCAAACTTGATTTTAATTTAATTTGTTTTGCTTGTTCATTTTAATTGCTATTTTAATAATCTTTTAAGTATTGACTTTAATATTTATTTGTAAACTGTTGAGAGCCTCTCGTAGTTCCCAATGTAGCA